GAGCTCTGCCCCTGCAAAATGATTGAACCTCGTGCTAAAATAAAATTAGTGATGACTAGTCTGTAGACAGCTCTCTGATTTGGTCAAAAAGCGTAATCATGTATTTCCTCAAATGTCTTTCAGATTAATTTTCTATTAATGTTACCAGTGAAAATGCTGTTCTTTTATATATGGCAACTCTTGTCTCCGTTTTTCCTCCCCTGTTGAGTCAGAAGTGATAAAAGAGTACAGGCTGTACAGTTTTCTCCATTTATCTGAAGCAGATACACTCATCTCCATGATTTTTAGAAAGCAACTGATTTGCTTTGCAGTCCTGCTAGGCCCTGTTGTGGGGGGTTTTTTGGCATGGCTAGATGTTCTGTGAAGTGGAGATTGATGGAGGCCTACAGATAGCACTAGGAAGTATGGATCCCTATGAGCCAAGAACAAAGGGTGGGTAAATTATTCCAGTGGTGACTCTGTTTCGTGACTGAGCTTGTTCTCGTAGCAGCGGTTCTTGAAGATGATACGAACTTTCTCAGAAGCCAGTTGTGGTTTTTAGCCTTTGGGGCTGTTTTGTTAAGATAAATGTAGTAAATATACACTGTAAAGCCCCAGTGGTTTTTGCAGTAGCATTGTTTGCCACTGGGCAGCTTTGCACAGCTATCAGAAGCATCAATTACAATTGAGCATGTTTTTCTTCTTTAAAAATCACTAAACCTTGTGCTTGTGGTTTGCATGTCAACTTGGGAAAGCAAAACCAAGCAAAAGACTGCAAGAAGAGAAAGCAAGTCGTTCTCTTGAACTGGATGGGGACTGACATCCCTTCTGCTTGTCTAATTCCCCGAAATGCTGTAGCAGAGAAATTAAGCTCTTCAGGATATTTAGAAAGTCTATAGCAAAGTTTTTGCTTCTTGTTCCATCTATAGAGTCCAGAGACAGTTTTCAGCAAACCTGTTACTTTTCTGTAGCACTCTGGTTTTGGTATCATTAACTGAGAAGTTGTTTCCATAAGGGAATATTAAATGGGCCACATTCATAGGCATTTGCTCCTTTTCCCTGATGGAGCAGCAACATGTTAGAAGTAAACTGAACAGCATCTTAGTTGCAATATTGCAAGCACCTTAAAAGTTTGTAATCAGCCTGACACCCAGATTGTTTGGTTTGGTTTTTTTTGTGCCAGTGCTTATTGTAGGTATCTGTTTTGCATTATTGACTTGGTTTCTACTCAGAACAAATGTTTGGTGGTCCTGGTTTTCCTCCCCTCCAAAACTTGATTCCTATATGTATTTCATTAGCAACTGGACACTTTATAACCCTGCCAAAACTGACTCATTTTGACACTGAAGCCTTTTGCCTGCAAGGTTGTCTGTCCTGCCAACAAGATGCTGGTTTGTAGGTAAGGATTGGCATCTTTGACTAAACCCTTGCACTTAGAAGAAAGCTGTCGTGATGGAGGGATGTTGAACATGTTGAAGAGAATAAAGTGAAGTAAACCATCTGGTATGCTCATTTAGTGCTTGAAATATTTGCTTCCCAAATGGAGAAGTTCTTAGGAATTGAATCACAGCTTTATAGTAAGGACATCTTTTAAATACTAAAACCTGCTAGCTTCAAGTGATCTGGATCTGTCAGGTATTTCTGAGGCCTTTTCAGAGTGAGGGACCCCTGGCTGTTGAATTACTTTAAATGCATCTGCTCCCATGTCCTTTCTAGAAGACTTAAAGAATTGCTATCTTTCACCAAGAGGTAGAAGACCATCAGCCTTTAATGAATTTGTTAGGGTTTTGTTTGAGTCTTTCTTTAATGCCACTTGTTTGTTACAGAACACAAGGAAGAGTGAGACTGTGTAATTCTGATGGTCAATTTATGGCTATTACTGTTGTAAGTTGTATCATCCTGTCATTTACCTACTGGAGGCAGCTGTGCAGAGTGAAGGGAAGCCCATATGAGATCACAAATGACATTTCAGTTGAGGAAACTGCCAAAAATAACAAGGGTACCTCCAGAACACTGTTCTTAGCTAAATCCACCTGGTATGGTGGTAGAGAGAGAGCAATGAAGATGGCTATTAAAGTATATTAAAGTCAATAGAAGATTTCCACTGATTCAAAGGGGCCTGCACTGGATCACCAGGGAGGGTACACTTTTGTCTTTTCCTGCCTTTACATGTATTAAATGAATGCCACATGTGAACTGTGTTATGACAATATTGCAGCTGTTTAAGGACTCCCCTATTGCAGGCCAGGATTTCATCTGAAAGGATTTCCTGGATAGAAATACATGTGCGTTTGCCGCGCAGCAATTGTAGTATTTTTCCATTTCGCTGCAGGAATGCCTAAAGCCTCCCTTTTCTTCTGGGAGAGGTGGAAGAGGGACTTAGTGATGTGTTGGCCATCTGCCTATCATCTGAGAGGTTTGCCAGTAAAATAGTTGTATTGCCTCAGAAAGTAATCTGCAGGCACCACAGATTTAAGAAGGGCATTTGGAGGGTGAGGGATTGCTCTTAGAATCATAGTGTCACAGAACAGTTTCGGTTGGAAAGGAACTTCAGCTCATCCAGTTCCAACCCCTGCCACGGGCAGGGACTCCTCACAGTAGACCGTGTTGCCCAAGGCTCTGTCCAACCTGACCTTTAACAGTGCCAGGGATGGGGCAGCCACAGCTTCTCTGGGCACCCTGTGCCAGCGCCTCAGCACCCTCACAATAAAGAACTTCTTCCTTATATCTAACCTGAACTTCCCCTGTTTCAGTTCAAACCCAGAGTTCTTCTATGTGCTGAGATCCCTTTGTGGAGAAGGCTGTCCAGAAGGGCAACAGTTCACAGCTCAGCAGTAGACAGAAGAAAATGTGAAGTGCTCATGCATTTGTTAGGAGAGTCCCTTTGTAATTATTTTGGTTTTCAGCACTGATTCTGCAGCTCAGTCATGACTCTTGGAGTTGAATAGGATGCTGGGTGTGAACAAAAGCAGAATTAGTCTATTTGGGGTGTTTATGGAGTCTCTTTGGCCACAGAATGGTCGAATTCAACTTGAAATGCTTTGATGAAAAATGTTATGCTTTAATAATTTTTTGAATTGGCCTTGGATGTCATTTACTGCCTACACCCATACAGTGGGTGACCTGAAGACTGCAATATCTCACACATAGTGTGTCCCACAGTATGCCAAGAAGCATGTTTGCTCTAGGACTAACATGATATTATTTTTGCACTGTAAAACAGAGCTCCCACAGAGTCAGCTTTGGGCATGGCATGAGCAAGTTCTTCCTTGGCTCCTCAGTTTGGTTATTCAAATTTCCTATAATTCAGTTCATCATGAGATTAGCACTATCTTTGCATCTCAGAGGGACTTTACTGAATCTCTCATCACCCTCAGTCAGAGCAGCATCACAGTACTGTTGACTCATCTATAGAACTTGGACAGAATTGTGCTAGCTTCCATAAAATCTTTCCTTTTGTGAGAAGGTCCCAGAATCTGACATGGGCAGTGTTTGCTTTCCTTCTGGGGTCACCCAGTTTCAGTAATTAGTGTGGAAAACTAAGAGGTGTTTAGAACTAGTTTGGCATAGTCATTAACATCTTAATTCTACCATATGTTTTATCCATCAGGATAAACTTGGATTTTATGGTCATTGCATGTGACAATAAGCAATCAAGTCAGGACTTTGGATGGGAAAATACAGTATCTGTTTTAAGTTCACAAAAGATAGGCCAGTAGCTGGAAAAGCTAATAGGGATTTATGTGTGCTAAATTCTACTAGGCTATAATTGGGGTGAAAACTCCATTATTCTCTAGGAAAAAATGACTCTGTCACAGAGCATTACTGGGTCTGTCTCTAAGCTTGAATTCCAATTAGTTTTCAGCGGAGACATTTTGGTATGTGACAACTGAAAATTAAACACTTCATCTTTGTTATGTTTCTGTTTTATTATCTGTGTGCTGATGACATTTCAAATAGGTCCCTTAGGGGACTCTCACATTTACAAGTGACTCCTCATATAAATATCTGTTCAAGCTAAATATAGGAAGAAAATATTAGGTGTACATGTTTTACTGATTTCTGTGTCCTATCAATACAACATGATCTTTACCCAGGAAAGTGAAATCTAAGGCTAATAACAGTTTCAGAGTACTTGGTTATATATATTCTTTGGTGCAATAGGTGAATGTCAAAGAAAGCATAACCTCTTTCTAATAAATTCTAGTTACAAAAAAGGCTTATTAAGAAGTCAAATTTGTGGAAATGCACTATGCATAAATGCTATACTGAAAAGTATGTTCATATGTGTTAAAACCCACATCCCTTATTCTCATATGAAAGGGTCTTTCTTTTTCCTTCATTGCATACATGCACCACCCTGTACTTTGTTGGTTCAGCTTCTGCATCTCTAGCTCCTTGTTGTGGCTCTTGGCACTTTCCATTTCTTTAGCTGACAGCAGCAAGCTGTGACTAACATCTTCATAGATGATCTGGATGATGGGATGGAGTGTACCTTCAGCAAGTCTGCATGCAACACAACTTGAAGGAGCGGCTGATATGCTGCCATGCAGAGGGACCTTGACAGCCTGGAGAAATGGTCTGACAGGAGCCTCATACAGTTCAACAAGGAGAAGGGCAAAGTTCTGCATCAGGGGAGGAACAACCCCATCCAGGAGTATCTGTTTGGGCCACCGAGCTGCAAAGTGGCTTTGCAGAAAAGGGCCTGGGTGTTCTGGTGAGCACCAAGGTGAACATGAGCCAGCAATGTGTCCTTGCAGCAAAGAAAGCAAATGGTGTCCTGGGCTGTATTAGGCTCTGCTGCTGGCAGGTCAAGGTGATCCTTCCCCTCTGCTCAGCACTGGTAAGGCCACACTTGGAGTACAGTGTCCAGGTTGCCCAGGGAGGTTGTGGAGCTCCCTCCTTGGTGATATTCAAAAGCCATATGGATGTGGTCCTGGGCAACCAGCTCTAGGTTGCCCTGCTTTTATGACAAGGTCGTCTTTCTAGCTGATCAAGTGAAGCCAGTAAATGTGGTGGGTTTGGATTTTAGCAGACCTTTTTATACTGTCACAGTATCCTTCTGGATAGAACGTCCAGCATGCAGCTAGACAAGTCCGTAATGTGTTGGGTGACAGATTGCCTTACAGGTCCCACTCAGAGTTATAGTAAATGGAGTCCCATCAGGCTGGCAGCCACTCACCTATAGGGTTCCCTAAGGCTCAGTTTTAGGGCCAGTGTTCTTTAATTTTTCTATAAATGATCTGGGCACAGGAACTGACTGTACATTAAGTAAGTTTGCTCATTATACTAAACTAGGAGGAGCTGTGGACTCCCAAGAGGGTATAGAGAGGCCTCACAGACAGATCTGGTGAGGCTAGAGAGCTGGGCCACCACTGACTGTATGACATTTAATGAGAGCAAGTGCCTGATTCTGTACCTGGGACAGGGCAGTCCTGGTTATACATGCACACTGGTGGATAAGAGGCTGGAAAGCAGCGCTGTGGAAAGAGCTCTGGCAATTCAGGTTGATCACAAATTGAGTACAAGTCAGCAGTATGCCCTGGCAGGCCCAAAGGGACAATTGTGTCCTGAGGTGCATCAAGCACAGCAAGCTGGTAAGGGCAGTGATTGTCCCTCTCTCCACTGCAGTGGTGTGGGCCCCGCCTCGAGTCCTGTGTGCAGTTCTGGGCACCTCAATACATGGAAGACCTCAGACTATTAGAGTGTGTCCAGAGGAGGATGACCAAGGTGATCAAAGGTATTGAAGGCAAGGCTTAAGAGGAGCAGCTGAGGTCACTTGACTTGGAGAAAGAAAGCTGTGGGGTGCCCTTTCTCACAGGAAGGAGATGCTGACCAGATGGTGACCAGTGATAGGCAATGGCATGAAGCTATGTCAGGGGAAGTTCTGGTTGGACATTAGGGAAAGGTTCTTCACTGGGAGGGTGGTCAGTCCCTGGAACAGGCAGTGGTCACAGCACCAAGCTGTCAGAGTTCAAGAAGCATCTGCACAATGCTTTCTGTCATTATGGTTTAGTTTTAGCTAATCCCATGAGAAGCAGGGACTTGGACTCACTGATCCTTACGGGTCCCTTCTAACTTGAAATAGTCTGTGAAGAAGTATTTCTGTCAAGATCTGACTTCTGTTCTGAGCTCTGAGCTTTGGACTGATTATTAGAAGAAAAAAGAGTTCATATGGCTTGAGCCCCTTCAGAGCGTCATCTCCGTCATCTTTGCCTGCCTGGGAGATTTCTGTAGCCCTCGGCTGTGCTTAGTAATTTAGTAAAGAAATGGCCTCTCAATTAGACCTGCACAGAGCATTAGAAAATTCCTATGGATACAACTGGGGAAGTCATGAGGCACAGATGCGTTCAGGGTTCAAATGTACTGGTATATTGTACACCTTGGAGATACTGGTTAATGGTAGAACGAGTAAAACCCTGGAGGTGGAGGTACTGATGCTCAGCTGAAGGTGACTAAAAAACTGTGTTATTGTTTTGGGTCTGTCTTTTCAGGAAGAACAACCTATATAAATTCTCATCCTGCTTTTTGTTGAATGCCTGAAAAGTGAATTAACCCTGAAACCTGAACTTTCACCACGCTGTTGTCTGTGCTGGGAACTGGTGCTATGCTGTCCTTGTGGTAGCCTTAACCCAATGGAAAATAACCCAACATTATCCATTTAATTTTAAGAAGGGCAAATGCAAGCTGCCAGCTTCAAAGCTCTCTGCTTTGCTTGCTACACACATGGGGCAATTTGAAATCTACATGTGAGAAGCTAATTGAAAGACAGAGGCCCTGTTGTGCTCCCAGTCTGGCTCTAGCACCTTGGGTTTAACATTAGACATTTGCAGATTGTCTGGAAAATTCGGCATTTGCAAAAAGCACAGTAGTTACAACACGAGTTCAAGTGTGGTTTGCAGGTTTTGAAGTCTGGCACGCAGTCAGCAGCTGGTGTGGGCCTTGGTTTCAGAGATGTCTTTGGTCCAGCTTTTTTCTAGATGAAAAGACATGAAAATTCATAGAAATGTAAAATGAGTATGGGTCAGAACAAAGCATAGGGGCAAAGTGAACCATGGGAGCTCCTGGCTTGAGATGAGTAGGCAGTTGGTAGCAGTGAGACCTGTATAGTAGCAATATAGAAATGTGGTGGGACAGAATCATGGGAAACAGTGTCTAGAGCAAGATGTTTCCCTGTTTTAAACAATTAGAAACATGACTGGATAGAGCATTGGAAAATGATCTGTAGGGAAGAATGTGGCAGCAGTGAAGAAAGGGACATGGGAGTATGCAAAGACAATGACATCAGTAGAACAAAGTAAGGAATTAGCCTTGGATCCCCAAAGGCTTCAAATAAGAGAGTGAAACCTCCCAGCCAATCTATGGAGCTGGTATCCACACTGTGAGGCTGGGAGAGAGGGGAGGTGACTTGGCAATGCTCTACCTCTCCTGGTTCGTTTCTCAAGCTGCCTTTGGAGCTTGGTAATCTTTTGTGCATCAGATTTGTGCATGGGAATCCTTAACTGCACGCTCAGGTAAGTGAGCTGGAAAAGATCTCTCAGCCTACCCTAGGAGTGCTGCTTTTCTGTCTGTGATTTGGAAAGGTGGAAAGCTTTGGGTTGATCAGCATGTGCCTGGGACCTGAGAGACACTCCAGAGCTCTCCAGTTGCAGGCACCCGATGTACTTTTTCAGCCTGGTAGTTTCTCAGGAGTTTCAATTTTAAGGTAAAATGTTCTGAGGTCTCCAAGTGCCATAGGAGCTTTTAAGCTAAAATCCTTTTGACAGTGTTTGATGACAAAAATGCCCTGCTTGAGCTGAAGGTGGCACTAAATGATGTCGTGAGGCCCCTTTCAACCTGGCTCATCCTGGGAGGTTTGGAAGTGTTTCAAAGAAGGTTAACCACATGAGATAGCAATTAAAATGGAAAAGAAGCACCTCTAAAAGCTTCTGGTTGCAGCAATGACTGGTTTGGCTATAAATGGCTGTCATAACATATTAATAATAATGTAAAAATGCTATTTTCTACTTTTCTACACAATCGTTAAAATAGAGGAGTCCAGTCCATGTAATACTTCACATTCCTATAGGCAACATCACATGAAGGAAATCTATCAATTTGAATCTATTGATGTGATAAAATTACTAGTTAACATTCAACCGAATACCACCTTTTTTCTATGCCTGTACTTTAAGTTTTTGGCACCTGCAGATAGTGAGCTTGTGCCCTTGAGCAGCAGATGCCTGAATGATTTTACAAACACTTAAACCAGCTCAAGGTTAAAGAACCTTGTGTGTAAGAGAGGACTGTAAAAAATGAAAGCAAAATCAAACCCAACAAGACTCCTCAAGCCCAGACAATAACCTCTGATTAATCCACATAGTTTCCTTTCTACCACTAGTGTTTTGCATCTCTTTTGACAGTATTAAGAGCTTCAAACTGTATGCAAATTATTTAAATTGGGGAATGGCCATAAGAACCTTGCAAATGAATGCATTGAGGAGGAGTATGGAAGCGATAAACCATTCTAATTCAACAATGTTTTCTGAACAGCCACCTACCTTGGAAGATTTCCTGATCTCTGCCTCTTTCCTGCTGACTTTCTGGGATCTTTTAGTTAAATCTTCAAAGAGAACAGCACAACATAACATTAAATCAATTTTACAGCATGTTATTTGAGACACTTAATACTATTTTTGTGCAAGAGAAAGCAGATAACTTGCATTTCCACCTCATCACTGCATGTTTTGCAGTGGGGACATTCATCTCTAGGAGCCATCCTCACTCAGACATCTTGTGTCTGAACTCACACCGCTGCTCATGTGAAGCAGAAAGGCATTCATGGTGTCTGTGTTTTAGGAGGGCTTCTTTACACCCTGCTTGGTCAGATGCAGACAAAGGAAATCATTTCAGAAGTGTAATTCTGTGTAAAAGATGAGGGCACTTCAGTCACCTGAACAAAATCAGGAAAGCCCTTCAGAATTACACGCTTTTTCTGTTAAAAGGTGGTGTTACCTGAGTAATTTTGGCAGGAATTAACAAGCGTATGCTGGTTTGCACAAGCAAAAAGCTGCCTTGTTGATTTGGCATGAACTCTTCATCTGTATGATGCCACTTTTTGTTCTTCAGTTCTTTGTTCCTTTTTTCCCCTTCCAAAACATCAAAGGTGTTTCATTAATGTGCCTGTAACTTTTCAGGTCTGTGAATGTAGAGTTGAATCTTGGATCTGATAAATTGTGTGTGTGTGTGTTCAGACTATGCCTGATGTAACTTTTTATTCTTTAGATCAAATAACTAACAGCATTTACTGCAGTTGTTACTATTATCACATCAGCACCAGTGCTATTTATCACTGTATATAAACTCCATGACTGAGACTTGTCTGGAGATCCAACACAGGACGAATTCCTACCTCACTAATCTGTTGCACTGCTTTTGATACCTTCGTTCTAAGTGTGTGAGGTCTGTAATAAGCACTCCTTGTATGTCAGGATGATTAGGATGGAAAACTTACATGCACCCGCTGATAAACACTGGCTCCTTGTCTATTCCAGTACTTGCTATAAGGTAGTTTTGAATATTTAATAATTGCCAAAATTTACAGAATTGCAGAATAAAGAATGCACATTTTGGTCTGGTTTGGGGGGTTTCATTTATTGTGCTTGCATCACTGTAGTTAAGGTTATACGTCTCTAACAGAGGGAGGAAAAACTATACTTCAAGCATGTAGAGTTATTATAACTTAATAAGAGCACATCTTAAAAAGGCATTACACTAACCAGCATTAGTGCTTTAGATCCATTTCCAGCTGACAGATTATTGGCTTTGTTATGCTGCCCCTTAAAACTTTCTGGTGTTAACCAAAGTGCTTGTGAGCCATTTGATTCTGCATTATCTTTCTATCTTTCAATCGTACAGGATTTTCTGGATTGCTTTTCCTGTAAAACTGCTTTGATAACATTCAGTTAAATGGTTTATGATGTCATTAAGCAGAGATGTAAACATTGGTGAGATATAAATGCACTTTAATTACTCCAAGGAATTCGGTAAAGAAGAAAATGATGCTCAGCGGGCAGATGAGAGGGAAGTGGAGAGATGCTTTTTTTGACAGGTGAATGACGTGATTGTCTTTTCTATAGTTCTTCTGGGTTGGGTAAAAACCTGCTTTTCCCAACTGGCCTCTAATCTCACATTCCTTATACTCTGCCTGCTGTGTTTTCAACAGCTGCCCGGCTGGCCAGCTCCTTACAGATCCCATCTGTGACATCAGGGGAAGATGTAATACAGGGTTGTGAAAATATTGCCAACGCACACCTCTGACTGCTGTTGATAGAGCCGTGGTTTGAGGTGCTATGAAAGTGTGGTTTAGTTAGACAACTGCATGTTTGACGAGTTGATGTTGATGCGAAACCCGTGCTTGCCTTTCAAGTTGTGATTCAGCTCCAGCCATGTGTTCTATTGAATTTGAGCCAGACACATCATCTTTTGATACCATGAGCGCTGTGATTGATTGACAGGTGTGTAAACAGCTGATTGAAAGTGAGTTTTGCTACTCAAGTATGGCTACAGCAAGATTTAAAACCTGAGATGTAACATCAGTCTCTGTTTTGTGTGGCCAACCAGAAGGAACAGTGCTTGGTGTAAGATGTCACTGAGATAGGAACCTCTACCCAAAATGTTTAAATCAAGCTACAAGAAGTTTTTTCCGTTAGCTTATGCAGAAATCAGTTATGTCTATCATAAAATAAATTATAACTGATGAATTATAAAGAAATTGACAGTATGAGGAAGGGAGAGGATGCTGTGGTGATTTAAGCACTCTCTTAATATTTGCTTTGAATTAATTGTTTCTGTGGTGGTGAGAGCAGCTTGTCAGCCTTTTGCTGTGGAACTTCCATTACAATAAATATTACCACATATGGCTCCATCCTTCCTCCTGAGTGTTGCAGGGTTTTGCTGTGGCTGTAGGCAGAGGGAGCAGCGGCAGAGCTGGAGGAGCCACCTCTGCCCCTGCCCTTCCCACTTCTGTCTGGCTGCTTTTTCCAGCTGATTTCCCCTGTTTGCATTAGTTTCTCCAATTTTGACTCATTTCCATCCTCTGCAGGATTGTGTCCAAGGCAGTCTCTCTCCATGTAGCAACTCTTCTCATTCATTTCAGCACTGTGAAGTGCACAGCTGCATTTCTTCATCCAGCCGCTGTGTAATGCAGAGAGCCCAGCAAATGTGCATTCATTTGCCTCCAGTTATGCCTCACAATTCTGGAACACGTTGCTCACACTGGCACAGGTTGCCCAAGGAAGTTGTGAATGCTCCATCCCTGGCAGTGCCCAAGGCCAGGTTGTACAGAGCCTTGGGTGACATGGTCTGGTGTGTGGTGTCCCTGCCCATGGCAGGGGGCTGGAACTGGATGAGCTTAAGGTCCTTTCCAACCCAACCCATTCTGTGGTTCTATGATTCTGTACAAGGATTGAGTCAGGGGGTGCTATTCCCAGCTCACTTCAGTGAAAATGATGGGATCTCCTGCCATCTTCCTGCTCTCAGCAGGGCTAGAAGGTCCCTTGGTCTCGGAACCTGAACCCCAAAACAGTGTCAGCCCGTGTCCTTTCTCCTGCACCTTCTTTCTCCACCGACTTTCAAATGCCATTCAAATGCCATGTGTTAATGAATTCTTTTGATTAATTTATAATTAATCAAGTCATAATTCAATTATTTTAGTTAATAAATGATAGAGGTAATGTGGCTACACATTACACACCCAGAAATAGCATGTGCCATTTCAGCTCCAAAATAAATTATTTCAAAAGTTAGGTCAGACTTCTTTGAATGAGGAAAAAAAGAGGAATGATGTGTCTCAGTTTTCTCACTTTGTGATTTTTCCACTCTTCTTTGGGTGTGGATAGTGGAGGGTCAGGCTGGCCTCTCATCTTTGAACAAGTGGGCTGCAGAAAGGCCTTGGGATACCTTTAGAAATGCCTTGTGCCTCAAGAAAGTGAGTGCAGTCCTGGCCAACGGAGTTACCATGGGGTTTGCATCTGTGTTTTCTGTTTTGGAATAATGAGCCAAGGCAAGCAGGCTATGTAAGAGGCGAGTCTTACGCCACGATCTATTCTTTTGAATTATTCTTGTTTTCAGCGTCAAATGTTCATCCCATTTGTATGCATGTAGGAGAAGGATGAGTGTTTGATGACAGGCACTTTTTTGTGAGAAGGTAGAAATCAGCTGATGTGAATGTATTTTATCTCTCAGAATTTAACTGGAATAAAAAAGTTATTGGAAGTGTCAGAGTAAAGGCTGTTAGGATCACAAGGACCATGAAATGGTGCGGCCTGAGAGGCCTCTCAGCACAGGCTTTAATAAACATGCAGCTAAATGACCTGGAGTTAACTCAGGACTGAGAGGCTCAGATGTCATTGGAAATGCATGTGTGGGATAACAGATTCTCCTTAAAGAAACATTGTCCTGAGGAAGAGTACAGAGGAAATACAGGAAACAAGGTAAGAAACCAACCTTCTTTAAGCAGAAGTCCCAAAAGCCTATAGGAAGGATAAAAGAAGCCTTTTTTTTTGAATTATCGAAGTATTGATACCATATGAATGATGTTCTGCAATTGATTATCCACAAATACCTGTTTCTTGAAAGAAAGAAGTGGGCTTAAACTACACGGAAATATTTAGAGCAGACCCTAGGAAGAAATGTTGTGAAGAAGATAGTTAAGGATTGCCCTAATACGGTTCTTCCCTAACAGGCCAGATGGTCACCTGCCAGCAAGGACAGGGACATAGCTGGTCCTATCGTAGATAAATAGAAGACCTCTGGCTCTCTCTTGCAGCGCTGTTTCCTTCCCCTGGTTAAAGATCACTTGTCCCACAGGCAAATTGAGGTTATAGGAGACCTGCTGATGTGTCTGCCACAGGAGCAGACCCTAAAAACCCCAAGTTATGTTAACTTTTTCTATTTGCACTAAACTGTCAAAGAAAGATTAATGCCCCTATTAAGAGAAAAAGAACACACAAGACTTGCAGCCCGGGGTGATGCGGCTGCATTGCCGTTGCAGTTGTGCGTGCTGCCGAGGCAGCTGTATGAAACCACAGCGTTGCAGTAAGCTGTCAATCCCAGTTGTCAGCTGTGTTGTCTGCAAATCTTGTTGCTTTGGCAGTGAATGGCAGATTTCACTCACCTGTTATGGAGATGGGTGGGAGATCTGAGAAATTCATTTTGTTGTTTCTCGACAGGCTGCATTCTGTCTTCTCTTCAATTACCATGTGATGATCGGCAGCTCTGAACAAACTGTAGCAGATCAATAGGCTTAGGAAGAGGTTCTTCCTTTCCATCACAGGGAGGAAAAATTCCATTGTCATGAAAACCAAAGTTGGTCAAAACCTGCATGTAAGAGAGACACAAGGAGAGGAATCTCAATGAAGGTGTGCCACCATGTTGTGCAGGTTTAGCAACCTGCTCTTAACAATTCTTTTGTTTCCATCACTTTGCCTCTAATACCACAATAGCTAACTTTGCTGTGATGTAGTTCAAAGATGCTACCTCAAATACACCTCCCTTAGGTGCTTTCTCCTTTCTTTCCAAGGATTCTTTTCCCTAAATGTCTGTTTTCCCAAAAGCTCGGAGTTCTTTGCATGGAGTTTCATGCTGGTTTTTATTGTATGAACCAGGGGAGAGGAACTTCTGCCAGTTTTGACCAGCTCAATCACATAAATCAGATTGTTTCCAGAAAATCTTTTTTACAAAACCCAGAAAATTAACAATTTAAAACCCCCACATCTCCATTTAGAATTAAGTAATTAAGAAATAGCTTGTTCTATTATACCCTGAGGTGGCTGCTCTGATCCCATAGTAAATCATAGCCATAACTCAAGCTAATTACGAAAGACCCAGTGCTGTAAAGCCTCATGGGCCTTAAGGTTTAGTATGTACTTAATAAATTTTAAGATGTAACGAAGTCTGTGGGATTTGAACATAATTATGGAGAGACCTGAGCTTTGCAGGATGTGGCTATAGCAGAAGAAAGCCACTGGCCCTGGCCAACCTGTGCGTGACACAGCGTAGGCATACAGGGTACCCAGAATGTATTACCCTGGTCTCCTTTTCCTGTGGATTCCTCATGCTGTTGAAGTTTGAAGTTGACTTTTATTTCCATGTGTATTAGTTTTGAGCTGAGTCAGAGTTATGGGAATCTTCCCCCAGAGGCACTGCCAGCCTCCAGGTTGATGGGTAACTTTTCATAGAATCCCAGACTGGTTTGAATTGGAAGGGACCTTAAAGCTTGTCCAGTTCCAACCCCTGCCATGGGCAGGGACACCTTCCACTGGAGCAGCTTGCTCCAAGCCCCTGTGTCCAACCTGGCCTTGAACACTGCCAGGGATGGGGCAGCCACAGCTTCTCTGGGCACCCTGTGCCAGCGCCTCAGCACCCTCACAGGGAAGAGCTTCTGCCTAAGAGCTCATCTCAGTCTCCCCTCTGGCAGGTTCAAGCCATTCCCCTTGGCCTGTCCCTACAGGCCCTTGTCCAAAGCCCCTCTCCAGGTTTCCTGCAGCCCCTTTAGGCACTGGAGCTGCTCTCAGGTCTCCCCTTCAGGAGCCTTCTCTTCTCCAGGCTGACCCAGCCCAGCTCTCTCAGCCTGGCTCCAGAGCAGAGCTGCTCCAGCCCTTGCAGCATCTCCATGGCCTCCTCTGGCCTCGCTCCAGCAGCTCCACGTCCCTCTTGTGCTGCTGCTCCAGAGCTGGATCAGGGCTGCAGGGGGGCTCCCCCCAGAGCACATCAGAGGGGCAGGATCCCCTCCCTGAGCTGCTGCTCATGCTCTGGGGGTGCAGCCCAGCACATGGTGTGGTTCTGGGCTCGTAAACCAAATCTATGTTGCATTTGCTTTTACAGCCTTCACTGACCCACTCTTCCTTGTGAGATGTCAAATATTAGTCCTCTAACCCCAAGTGCTTGGGCTCATTTCTCAGTCTGTTCTATAGGCCATGCTCATGTAACACATCACTGCTGGGTACATCAGTGCTGCTTTCATTGCTGGTTACAACTGTGCCATGAGGAAATCCACTCAGATGTATTAGGACTCTATTAGGATTTGCAGGGACACATGTGCTGGATCCTTTGTCATTTAGACATCCGCGTGAGCCACAACAAAAATAACTGTATCTTAGTTTGGAGTTTTACTCCAAAGGAGGAGGGATTAACTCATGAATGTCTGAGTGCTCCTGTGTCTGTATTTCAAATGATACCCAGCTGGTGTAGCTCAAAGCTGGTATAAAGTTGAAACCCAAACTGTCCCATAGTTGTGCCTGTGGTTTGCCATCTCCTTTTTGTTATAGGAGCTGGGAGTATTCTTTAATTTGATCACAAATTGCCTACTGGATGAGAAAGTACATCTCGTTTAGGAGAAAAAAATCCTATAAACGAAAGGAGCATGAGAATTTGTTGGGATGATTAAATTGTGGGTTTTTTCCCCCCAGCTATGGCCCATCTGTTTTCATTTTCACATGGTCTGGTCTTGTAAACTCTTATACAGATGTTCAGCCTTTGCCTGTGATAGCTGCCTCTGTCTAATGGGAAGTGTGTGAAAATATTTGCTAGGTCAGGACCCCTAACCTGGTTTTGTTTTTTTTTGTGTGTGTTAAGAAGAGATATTTTTTTTTATTGTTTCTCACTTGCCTTTCACATAAGATGCCCAGACCTGACTGATGCTTTCTAGAGACTGTTCTAGCACATAGTTTTATATGTAGATAACCGCTTAGGTCTTAACCATACTCTTTCTGGTCATAATTAGAACTTCTATTTATGTAACTAATTGTACCAACCTGAATATCACTGCTGATGTTCATGTTCTAGCTATAGGCTTAAAATTAAAAAACCAAAAGAGCTGAATAATGGGCTTGTGTGCCCAAAAGCTTGTCTGTGCTTTCCAGGTGTGTAGCTGGTCAAATAAAATACATCATTACTTAAAAAGTATTAGCTTGCTTAACATTTATGCATGCTTATTTTCACAGGATGGAGGCATACAGGGAAGGATGTAATGTTCTATGATGAAGGTGTATGGCAGGTACGACCCCCCGGCCAAAGCCCTCCGAAGCTTCCCCCCACAGGGAGAGGAAGTTGGGTCCTGAGCTAACACAGGGTACCTCACCATTGGATTCAAGTAGGGTGTAAATGGAGCCCCTTGGGCAGCCATTTGGAGCTGCTCCTCCTCGGAGCAGTGGGTCTGTTGTTGGGGACTGTCCCCTTGGGTCGGGACACCGTCCAAGGGAGCCCCTGGAGGCTGAGAGCCCTCCCTTGTTAGGTGAATGTGCACTTTGGATCACTGGCCATAAACTTCACGAATCAGCAGAATAGTGATGAATCCATGTGACATCCCGGATCTGTAGGTGATGTCAGTGGAGCTTTAACTGAGTTTGGCCTCAATTTATCCTTCTATAACAGGGTGCTGAGGCGCTGGCAGAGGGTGCCCAGAGAAGCTGTGGCTGCCCCATCCCTGGCAGTGCTCAAGGCCAGGTTGGACACAGGGCTTGGAGCAAGCTGCTCTAGTGGAAGGTGTCCCTGCCCGTGGCAGGGGTTGGAGCTGGATGAGCTTTAAGGTCCCTTCCAACTCAAACCAGTCTGGGATTCTATGCTACAGATCATCAGAGATTGTAGTACCCTTTTCTATGCCATTTCCTTCGTGCTTTGGCTTATTATATTTAATCTGTAGATAAGGTACTTTAATACTTAGCCCCATTGATAGCTCCCGCAAGCATTTTTCCCTGAATGTAATTCTGGAAAATGACAGAGGATGCGAAAGAGCTTTTGTCTCTTTTTAAACTATTTTTTGTGATGTCATATTTAAAGTCTCCATGTAGAAATTTTGTTTCCCCAGAATCACACTGTACATTCAACACTTTCGAGCGAAACTGTATTTCCTGTCATAGCTGATTTCACTCTATTTGGAGATATATTCTCACACAACAACAGAGTGAACAGTTTGAGACAATCATACATGAAGTCTGCCATAAACACTGGCAGGGGACAAGTTTTCTTAGGAGGTCTGAAAAATTAGGACCAACTCATAAATAAATCAGCATCATTACAAATAGCTGAAAACAGCTGCTTAGAAAAGTAAAATGTTAAATTATGCGAACAAAGAAGTATAAAATACTGAAAATTGTGTTAAACTACTCAGTAAGTCGCTGACAAATCTTCACTTATGCTGCACTGCTGTGCTCCCGTTTTGAAATGGAGAGGATAGAAAAAGAAGGAAGGCAAGGAAAAAAAGCAAGAACTAGTGGCTGCCTTGAAAGATGTTGAGTTTTTAAGGTGGTGAGAGACTAAAGAAAGTTAGGAAGTTAAATGTGGAGGCTAATAGGATGACTGAGTGATTAGTTGTGAGTGATTATTCCATGGTCACTGAGAACTGGGCTATCCAGTCTCAGTAGCAATCCTATCTCAGTCATCAGGTTTCAGCAAAGAAATGGTGAGAAAAAGGGAAATGGCATAGAATCATAGAATAGTTAGGGTTGGAAAGGACCTTAAGATCATTCAGTTCCACCCCTCATGCCATGGGCAGGGACACCTCACACTAAACCATGCCACCCAAGGCTCTGTCCAACCTGGCCTTGAACACCGCCAGTGATGGAGCAGGGATGGGATCTCTGCTGCTGAGAAATGCTCAGTTAACTTCTATCTTGACAACTGTTGAGGGAAGCTATCAGGAAACTAAAGGTCTCATCGTTCCTCAACTAGTGTTAAACATAAAAGGTTACTTAGTCTACCACTTCAGCAGAGAAATCTCCATGTGTAATTCAAGGACTTACTGAAATTTGTAAAGTAAAGAAAAAAACCACCAACTGTCAGCAGTGATGAAAAGAAACTGCGAGAGTATTATATATGTGGGAAGGCAAGTTGTCTGCCATTCTGAAGGAGCATGATTACTTGTGATTTTGACAGAAGAAAATCACTTCTAGGTTGCTTTTTGCTTCAGACGGGTTTCACACACATCCTTAAGACTTTTCGCACATTACAAGGCTAAGTATCCAAAAAGACCACCAGAGGAGTCAGAGATCAGCTCTGGTTCACAGCTCTCTAGTGAGTAATGATAACCTCAGACTTGATGGCCCTTTAGCAATGGGGTTGCTATTGCTGACACTGGGTAGCTTTTATCCCCACAATCAGCACATGTTCACCTCTTTGTAGGTCCAAGACTAGGTAGACCTCTGTTATTCAATAGTAAAGACCTTCTAGATGTCCCTTTCCACATAGAAATTAAATTTCTTTGCAATTCGCAGCCTGAATTTATTCATTTCCACTATAAAAGAATGGGCTTTGGGGCAACATTATCCTGCAGTACTGAATTATCTGCTCTTCCTTTCTTGATCAGCTGTTGGAGAAAACCT